TTTTACTTGAGGAAAGGGGAATCACTGCAGTGGTATAAGAGGTAGGCTTCTTTGCCCCAATTCAGGATAACTCTGCAAGGTCATTCCAGCTTCAGAGCTTCTGTTAATCGCTATAGCTCAGCCAGCTTCTCCACACACCAATTTGGCTTCTTCATTTCCCAGCAGTGTGTCTTCACAGGACACTCCTTTTCAGCCTTCTGGTCCTAGGGGAAAACTTCTGTCTTTTCTTTCTGCAGCCTGAAGGCTGACCTGCAAAACCTATCCCATAGCCTGGGCCTGGAACAGAAGCTCTGAGATGATTCCTGGATAGACCACCAAAGCAGCTCAGGGCTGGGCCCAGATCAGATCATCTTAAGCAGCTCAAGGTTGGGCCCAGATCAGGAGATCCTCTTAGATGTCTGTATTTGGTGTTGAAATTGATAAGGAATCTATCCTTCATCTGTGCTTTTGTTCAGGTCTCAAACCCATTTGCTTTGTGACCTTTGGCAATAGTTCCCTCTTCAATAGTTCCCTCTTTGGCCACAAATAGTCCATAGAGTGGCAAGTCTGGAGTTTAGGACACAGTACTCCTGTCTCTGAGCCTTAGTCAGACATCTAAAAAAGGCTGACAAGGCATGTACCATATCTATGCTACTCAAAATTCAATCCACTTGCCAATAGAATTGGCCTCACCTGGGAGCTTGTTAAACATTGGAAATCACAGATGCTCCTACCCATGACCTGCTGAATACAACCTGCATTTTAATAAGCCCTCAAGGTGGTTCCAATTCACTTCACAGTAAAATGAGCTCCAAAAGCCCTTTCCGTTTCTAAAGTTCTATATTCCAACTTAATCAATTGAGGTGGGTGTTTGGAAGTTTTGGTTGAAAGGAGTTATTTCAGCAAAGTTTCATCGGTGTTGATCCCTGATGACCAGACAGCTCTGTTCCAGGCAGTTTTCATAACTCCAGCAGAATCTCCAGCTGTAGTAAGAGTTATTTTAAAATAACAGAAATGATAAAAGTTATTTTAAAATAGCAGAAATGATGATGATGGTAAACATGAGGAAGAAAAGACTTCTTTGTGACTGAATTCAAGACTCCCTCATAGTAGATATTCCCATCCCCTCTCTCTTTTTTTAATTGCCAGATGGTCCATGCACTTACCAGAAAGAGAGAGAAAACACCCCCCATGGGACACAGTCATGCCATAATCCTTTTTCTTCCATTTCTCCATTCTGTCAGGACTGGGGGCACACACATGCATCCACCTAGCATGGTTTTTTTTCAAGCCACGATGGTAGGGATTCAAGTCTATCAGCCATGTGAGATTTAGTCTCTGTGCACTGCATTTAATGGCTGTGTTACTACAACAGCCCTCTCAACCCCCTTTTCCCAGTAGAATGCAATACATATAAGACGTGACTTCAAAAAGTGTGTAAAAAACTGGAATTAAGTTTGAGTTTATTCTGATACCAAAAAAAATTGGAATCCATGCTGTTATTTTGTCTTCATAGTACTCATTTTCCATGACATTTTAAAAAGATTTACCTTATATTACTTATTATCATTAATTTTAAATTTGATATAGGCACATACACTCACCAGAGAGAGAAAGGGAAAGTGAAAAAGCAAGCCACCAGGTCCAGGATTTGATCTATGGTAGGCCATATGGGAGTCCAGTGCCTCAACCCTCATAACACCCGCTATCTCATTCCATTAGACTTTTAAAGATCTATCTCATATTTTTTTACATGTATTTTACATATACTTATATGTATATATATTTACTTTTACATATATTTATAAATTAATAAATGGTATGGTTTTATGTATTTTTAAGCTTTATTTACATAGGGCCATAGTATCCATATATGCAACTTTTTTGTTTTTGAATTAATCCATATCAGTAACTCTGTAACAAATTCAGAACAAATTCTGAACAAATTCATTTATTTTCCTGGGTGACAGGCAACAAGGTTGTTCACTGGGTCTTGCTTTTATGTTTCCCTCACATCCTTATAAATTGAATGTGTGAGAAAGTCTGTAGTGTTTACACCTAGAAGTATAATCACTGGGTTCTGGGGATAGTGGTTGTTATGGATTGAAATGTGTCTTCCAAAAAGATATGTTCAAATTCTAAGTTATGGTATTTCTTATTTATTAATTATTTATTTATTTTTTTAGAGGTTTTTGCTATAGGGCGTGTGCGCTCGCCAGCCAGAGAGAGAGAGACAGAGACAGAAAGCGAGAAATCACTCCCCAGGGGGGATGGCCATGCAGCAATCCCTTCTCCTCCATTCTCCTCTTGGGATCTTGGGCATGCACGCACACGCGCCCGGCGTGAGTTTTAAGCCACTGGGTCCGGGACGCAAACCACGGTCGACTACATGGGAGTCCAGCGACATAGCCATTACGCTAACTGCTGGTCCCACAGTATCTTTTAATGTGACTTATTTGGAAGTTAGAATCTTTGCTGATGTAATCAAGTTAAAATGAAGCCATTATGGAATGCCTTAATCCAATATGATTGGTGTCTTTTTTTAAAAAAAAGAGAAGAGACACAGACAGGGAGAGAATGCCATGTAATGACAGGGGCAAAGAGTAGAGTGATTTGTCTATCTGTACAAGGATTGCTAGCAACCACCAAAAGCTAGGAGAGAGGTGGGGAACAGATTCTCTCTCAGAGACTCTATAAGGTACTAACCCTGCTAATGCCTTGATTCTGGACTTCTGGCCTTCAGAACTCTGAGAAAATACGTTTTGGAGGGAGAACTTTTTTTTTAATTAATTTATTCATTTCTTCCATAAGAGAGAGAGAACTACCAACAGGGTCTTGATGCCGAGATTCATCCCCAACTTCAGCCAGCCCCAGATCATAGGTGCACATGTGTCACACATACTCAGAGAGGTCTCAGAATATAAACTGGGGGACTTCTCGTGTAAGATTGCTTCATGGAACATCATTTACTACCACTGCAGCACCATCTGGCTCCAAATTTTTGTTCTTTTAAACCACCCAGTTTGTGTGTGTGTGTGTGTGTGTGTGTGTGTTTTTAATGATATTTTTGCTAGAGGATGCACATGCTCTCCAGAGAGATAGAATGATAGAAAAGTAAGAAATCACCCCCCAGGGGGAATGGCAACACCACAATCCCTTCTCCACTCCCCCCTCGGGATCTGGGTATGCATGCACATGTGCCTGGCATGAGTTTTAAGCCTCCAGGTCCAGGACGCCAACCCTGGTCAGCTGCATGGGAGTCCAGCAACATAACCATTACTCCAGCTGCTGGTCCCCTCAGCTTATGCTAACTTGTTAATAGCAGCTCAAGCAAACCATACAGTGATGAAATCCCAAGTCATGGCCTGCAGGGAGCACAAGTCCAGGTGGGAGAGAGTATATGAGCCTGAGAATGTAACATTAGACAGTTGTCTGGATCTTCGCATCCAGGCAGTGTGGAGCCACTGATAAAGATAAAATGGTAAGAGAGACAGTTCTAGCTCTAGTGAAGGATATCAGAGAAATGGTCCATGTTTAGAGTAGACTTGTTGGACTTTGGACTTGGTCTCAAATTTATTCGTTTTTTACCTTTAAAATTAATTCATTCCTTTCCATACAGAATTATGAGTTTTCCATACAGTTTGTCATTAGTAACCATGGGTTATTTTTGTGCTCACTAAATCAGGCCCTGTTTTTAGACATAATCTGCTAATCTCACTTAATCTTCACAACTGCCTCCCTCCCACCCCACCCCCCACCCCCGGAAAATATAGCCGCTATCTTCTCCATAATAGGGATAAGGAAAGAGTCAGG